AAAACTTGGAGGAATTTCTAAAAGACAAATTGATGTTGTTTGTTGTAGATGTGAGTGTTTCAGGCTCATTTATCTATAAAACTGTGATTACATAACTTCACTGTTACCACCATACAGTGCTGACAATGTGGTTGTAGCCATTTAAAGTGTTATGCAAGTCTTAAATGACAATTTAGTTTGAGTCTGTGCCTAATCTGACACAGCGATCAACTCAAAAGACAAAAATATTGTACGGTATCACCTCAGAAAAACACAAACCTGTATCTAAAGTTCCTCAGGGAACTTATGGGAAGTCCAACTTGTTAAAAAAAATCGGTCCTGGAAGAGATCTAAACACATAACAAGTGTCCAGAAGGGCCGTAAAAATTGAAGTTTGCGCCGACTAATAGGGCCTCTATTTTCTGCCCCTCGCTGCAGTTATGAATAATGTATCGGCACCAAATAAATAGCGTCCCTGTTGGTGTCACCTCTTATTGAGGAAGTCTGGTCCACGGATCAAAGAGAGAGAGAGAGAGAGAGGAAGGAGAGGAGAGAACCAGAGTTGGAGAGGACGGAGGAAACGGGATTGGAGTTATCAAGCGTACACACATCACACACACACACACACACTCTCTCTCTCTCTTTCAGTCTAGTGGCTGATTTATTGATTTTGATGAAGGCAACTAGACTAGTCTGACCTAGCCGGCTCCCATCTCTATTGGTGTCATTTCAGCAGGCAATTACTGAGGGATCGTTGAATCTCTCTGACACACACACACACAACCACACACCACACACACACACACACAAACAATGATGGATGTCATATTACGCAGGCCTGGTTATTTTAAAACATCTTCACATTTAAGTTATTGCTGCCATTTTATGGAACAGAGTACAGTTCAAAGTTAAACCACTTTAGGTGGATGTTTGTCATTTCACTAGTTTCTGAGTTTGTTGCAGGTAAAATAAAATATTTTATGAATTTTCAGTTTCAGTCAGTCACAGGCTCGACTCTTGTCTTATTCTTCTCGCTCCCAGGATGTGAGCAAGGTTTTTTCTGTTCCAGCTCCTCAACAAATTTTATTTCAACCATATTTTTCATCTTCCTTTATCCACAAACAGATTTCAGAGTCTGTATGACATTCAACAGGAGCTTCATGCAGGTAAAAAAAAATCTTACATTTCTTTTCAGTTGATGTCATAAACTCCACTTTTTGGCTAATTTCCCTTCCTTCCACACCTGGATTTTACCTAAGCACGAGGAGCACACTATTACGTGATCACATCAAAATACAGTCGCTAAAAGGAATGAATGTAAGGCCGGGATGTGAGCATCATTTTCCCTGTTGAAGCTTCTTAGAAACTAAACACTTCTCCTTTCACCATATTTTCAGATAAAGAAGTTACTTGCTTTTTCATACGCCATCCACCAGCATCCCCAAAGAAGCCTAACGAATTGCTTGTCAGTGAAGCAAAATAATTTGCGAAGGTGTTACATCACATCCTGGCTGTTAAAAAGCTTTAATGTCCTATATCAGTAATAAAAAATGTTTTTTTTTTTTCTAAAAAAAGAGAGGCAGAAAAGTGGAGAGAGAAAAAGGGTATGACGCTCTGAGCTACCAAAGTGGTTCAGCAACAAAAGAAAAAAAAAATTCAAAATAAAACTTCTTGTAAAAACTTTTCCCACACTCCCTTTAAGTTCATACTATTTTTGGGGGTTTATTGCCTTCAACTGCAGCAGCAAGGACTCCAGCTCCACCAGGGTGCCACTATATTGAACATTGTGAGACTAAATATCATACTATTATATTATAGAGACTCAAACAACATGTGTTTACTGGCTATATGCCAAAATTCAAATCAAACATGTCATAAAGTGTTTATCTGTCACTTCTCTTTCACATATGACTCTCGCTTGCCTACATTTTTAATCTTCTTATAAACCAATATAGGAGCCACAACTAAACTAGACCTCAACTGTGAACCCTGACGTAGCTCCTGTCAACATGCTGTGATATAATAATGTCACATGAGATCAAAGTAAAACAATATTGGAAGAGGGAACAGAGTTCACTATATCTTCATGCTGGCCGAGCTACAGCAGCTATCGATTTTTGTGTTGAGAGGCATCGTTGCCCGGCCCATCCAGGCGTGAAAACGGGGGCTCTTAGAGGAGAATAAACAGTGATAATCCACGTTTAAGCAGCTTAATATGAGGTGCTATACTCTTGGTGATTAATGTGTCTAGAAGGGCTCATCTCTGCATATTTGGTCGCATTCACCAAACCCTAAAAAATACACATTTATAGAGGAAGCATTTTTACACATTTGTCTAAAAAGCAATTTAAATGAGTTTAGCCAAAAGAGCAACATTCAAGCCCCTGGGCCGTATATCTGAAAAGCAATTTTTGGTTTATTGATAATGTTTTTCCTTGGCATTTAAAAATATTCCAATCCTTCAGTGACCAGGAAGTCCAAGCCGTGGTTATATGTTGCTCAGTCGACACTTTAACATATGAATCCCGTTTTTATCCGAAGCTCACAGCTAATGACATTACAGCAAACTAAGACTATGCACTCACTACTTTAAGTATTTATGTGACTTGCATATTAGCAGAAGCTGAATTTTAATAAATACTTTGAAGAGAAGAAATGACTATGGTATCTTTGAAATGCATGTATTTTATTTATTGAGCATGTCCTCATGTCTTTTAACATTTCAATAGCTTCTTACATTAATCTTTTAATATCCTATGATGACTGAAATGTTTTATCAGTTATAAAAAACATGTTTTTCTCCTCAACCACAAGACCAGTCTTATTGCTTTTCTTATGGCTTTATGTTCCCATTTTCTTAATCTTGGTTGTATAAATAGCAGGAGCAGCAGTAGTGATAGATGTCATTTTTTTGTAGTCTGATATATATCCAGGGCTGTAACTGCCATTGTGTGCACTGAGCCACTCAGTAATTTTGGGGGAACTTGGGGCATTTACAGCTACAGTTCAAAACGTACACATAGCGGGTATTTTATAGGCTAGATTCCAGTATTTTTGACAAAATATTTTTATTTGACCACTCTCAAGTCGCCAAAAATGATATAAAATGATTCAGGATTTCTTCCCCAGAGGCATGAGTGTATCTCTTATACATCCTGATTATTAAGTGCATAATAAAGTGTGACATACTATAGATTAAAGCTATTGTTGGTCAATTCAAATTGTAATTGTCTCATTTTACTGACCTAAGCAACACTCAGTGTTATAATTTTTCAGGTATTTAAAGAGTGAATTAACATTACGCTGAAAAGCAGTTTTTTGCCTGTTTCACCTCGGACGACACCCAGCATCAACAACTACAGTTCTTCAAATGGCCACTTGAGGCTGGCTAAAGAAATGAGTCAATCTCCATAGTGCCCCACATTAAAATGCCCAACTTTACAACAGAAATAAACATGTTTACAGCTTGGTACAAAAACAGTTTAGATCTCTATAGCTATTAACTATACTATAGTTATATAGTTATACTGTACGTGTGGTGAATGTTTCTATAACTTTAATTAACCATTTAAATTATATTAAGGCTTATAAAATATTTATAATTAAGAGCGTGGCTGCTTTAAGTGACAAGTGGGTGCCGTCACAGGCGGCTGAATTCAGTAACCAGGCTTTATTTGGCCAGCCTCAGTTCCACCCACGCTCCATGTCATTACCTATTGTTGGATTAGCTGGGAGCCGGCAGAGTCAGGACTGCCAAGATAGCGATAACCAGAGCCGACAACACTGAGCTTTACAACGGCTCTTCAGAAATTCTATGGGTGACATCATGGAGACTACGTCCATTATTAATAATAAAGTACAGTTTGTGCTTGTTGCACATGTAACCACACCCAACAATAATGCCTTGTGGTCCTGCAGTACACCTGTACATCACTGAAGCAAGATGAGAATTGAAACCACTGGACTGTTACTTTAACAGGTGAAATGGCAAGAAAAGAAGAAGGCAAAGAGTAATAAATGCTGTTATTTCATCCCTTACCATTATGCCTGACTGCAATAAAGTATTATTTGTGACATTATAGGAGTTATTATTTAATAACACATACAAATGATCTCTTGTCTACCCTAATTCCCCTCAGTACGTAACATCTACCCACAAACTCCAAGACTCCGACGGTCCACATTTCTTTCACCAAAACGTGGGGTACATGAGCATATAATCATCAGTTTGAAAAATAAATCTATCAATAAACACTTAATACTATAATTCACAGGTTAAGTGTATTATACAGGGAGTACTTTCCTTTTTGCTTGCAGTTTCTTATGAGGTGGCCAACAGCAGGAAGCTCTCAGGTGTGAATGTGAAGTGTGAGTGTGAAACAAGGTAAAAAAAAAATAAAAATGAGCAAAGCTTCTCATTTAACCATCACCAGTTAAAGGTTAAAATATCTTTAAAATGTAATTCCAGCTAAATTGGACAGAATAAAAGCCGATAATGTGGACGACAAGGGACGGAGGAATCATGATAAACTTCTATTACCTCCAACTGCTGGCCTTACATTGTCCGTGTTGCTCATGTTTCAGTATATTGCTCCGTAGCTAACACTAATTATAAGGACATCTTATTGATTGTGTGCCCTTTGCAATGCCACATAATCATAATTCTCTCAAATGGAGATGAAAAAGTTGGGAAGAAACATCTGAACTGTGCAGCTATGAGACAAAAGCAGCACGATCGATCCGAATGTGAAGCCGGAGAATGAGTTTGGACAATGATGCAGTACCTCTGTGGGTTGGGCTCGTTGTGTTTGTCTCTCTCGTGTTTAATCATTCTGTAGCGGCCAATGCGAACGTCTGGCCTGGACACCTTCATCCCATTCAGAGTGATCCTGCAACACACACAGATACAATATCTATTAGAGAGAGAAAAGGAAACAAACAAAGGCCCAGACAAGGACAGAGACGAGAAAGAAAAGAGGCAGTATGGGAGAATAAATATCAACAAACCGAGAAGGACGACAAGGAGAGGGAATGCACCTCAAGGTTTCATGAAGAAATGAAGTAGGGTTGAACTATTATTTTCATTATCCTCATCTTTTTTTTTTTTTTTTAAATCAATAGAATATTCATTTGGTGTATAAACTGTCACAAAATTGGAAAAAAATGGCCATAACTAGTTCCCATAAAGTAGCTCAACGTGATAACGCTAATGTATGTTTTCACTATCTAATAATCTGATGATTATTTTGATTAACTGATAAATCATTTGGTCTACAAAATGTCAGAAAATGGTAAAGAAAAATGCCTGTAACACATAGATAAAGCCTTTAAATAGCTTGTATTGATCAGTGTACTGTCACATAATGCAACAAAAATATTGTAAATTGTCACACATCGATTATCAAACTATAGTTGCATTGATTATTTCTTTAATTAGACGGTAGACAGTCCAACAAAACCCAAAGATGTCCAGTTATTATGAAACAGAAAACAGCACATTCTCACAAATGAGAAGCTTGGACCAAATATTTTTATTGAACTTTAATGATTAAATCATTTTGTTCAACATTAAATGTTCTGGCGATAAATTAATAGTAAATAGTAAAAGCACCACTGGAATATAAAGAGATTAAAGTCCAAAATTCACTGCTCTAAACCTCTAAACAAATACACAAGTTCTTTAAATGAGCCTGTTCTGCATTTCCATGGACATTGTTTCCTCGCTGCGCTTCAGCGGAGGGACTCATCCTGGTAGTCACATTTAGGTGTGTTGCTGGGATACAACAGCAACAGAACCTAGCAACAGTAAACCTTTACATGACTGCCAAGCTGACTTAATCGCTTGATTTGGCTAACTCAGACGGCTGAAGCCTCACACTAGCTTCCACGGAAATACTGGAACTGTGCAGAGGAAGGCCATTATTTCCTATGGAGAGAGCGGCTGCACCCTCTCAAACAAGGAGTCATATCAGTGAGGCCAAAATCGACAAAAGGCCAAAATCAACTTAACTTTGACCTCAACGACCACGAAAAGTTTTGTTTCTCTTTGTCCCAAAGTTATGCAACGCTACTTTATGAAGAGCAGGAAAAATCTGAAAGGACGTTAAAAAATAAACGCTGTGATTTAGCATCTAATTTAGCTGCTTTGTAGCATAATTAGCATTTTGTATTCACATTCTATCTCAAGCAAAGTCTTTATTTTACAGAGCAGCTGCACTAGGAGGGGATCACCTTTGCCAGTATAGGCAGGAGGGATGATTACAGGGACCAATAACTCCTTAGACATAAAGAAGACATATTACAGTAAGATGAATCCAAACTGTTCCCTTAGTTGCTAAAGCAGAGGAATTAGTAGCTGTATACCTGAATAGAGTCAGCAAATTGTTAGTAACTCAACCCATCAACACTAAAATATGCTCATTTGACTTCTACTGCTGGCTCAGGGTGTTCAAGGACTCACTGCATTCCTTCACACAGACGTGCTCCGGGCATATCATAATCCCCCTAAACACAGCACACTGCAAACAGTGTTGCACACAAACAAAATGAACAAACACACAGAGACCCCTGGCTGTTACCGAACAACCTCAACTCTAGGGGTATAACACCAAGAGAAACAAACTGTTCCAACTTCAGGAGCTGTGAACTTTGTGGACACCAGCTGGGAGAAAGATTCGGATTTGCAGCGTGTTACAGTTTAAACAAAGCATGAGATCAAAACTTTGAGACTTTGTAATGTTGTATTACCACTAAGATGCAATACAAGGGCTAAATCTGCACAGAGATTTATATCTAACGCCACAACAAATGGAGTGTGGGCAACACAAACAACAGATTTGTTCCACATAAAGCCCGCCTTAAACCCAGAGGTTGACAGAAGCATTGATATTCATACCTGCAACGATATAAAGGATTGTGTATGTGTGTACTGAATGAGCAATTTTTTTTGTCGAAACGCTCTGATTCATGCAGTCTCGCTGTCTTAAAAAGCATCCATGCCTGATATTGCTCCTCAACAACTGCTTGTCTACTCCACACTTCCAATCCCTCCACTTGTCTCTCAACTCATCAGCTCTTCCCTTCTTTTCCCAGCTTCCCTTTTTCTTCTTTTATCTCCTAATTTTCTCTTAATCTAATTTGCTCATGTCTCTCCTTCTTCTCTTCTCCACTTTTTGACGGCTGATAGAGTACATGTATACTAAAAGTATAAGAAAAAGGCCTCTTGAACTTCATTTATAGCATATCATCTGCCAATAAATCCATAAAAATGAAATTAGTTTAGGTGTAATGCTGGTTTATTTTACAAAAAAGAATAATTACTGAACAATTAAATGCAACTTGATGCAATTAATTCATAAAATGTGGGAAAATATCATTTTCTGTATTAGCTGTTCTTCATTATTTAAAGGAATAGTTAAAATGTTTTGCCTATTTGCTTTTTACCCAAAGAATTAGATAAGAAGAGATGAAGATACATATCATCACATAGATTAAAATTGGCTGCTATTTATTTATTTACTGTTTACTGTTTTTTTACTGACTGTTCTTTTGCACTGTTACTGCTGTAAATTTTAGTTTTTAATTTTTAATTTTTCTGCTGCCATTTCCATCTGCCTTTTTGCACTACCCT